CATCTAGTTTCCATCTATATCGATTTGTTTTAATCAATTTTATCTCCAATGCGCGCATGTGGCCTAGACCGATCAAGCAGACTACGTGGATCTAAGTGACCATGTCGTCACTCCAATGCGCACATGTGGCCTCTCCGGTGCACGCCTTTGACAGTAAAATGTGTCTACAAGTAGCATAGGATGAGAGTGTCCTGATGTGCGTCGCTTAAAATTGTTCCGTGCCGATGATACATGACATGATAAATCTTGGGATAGGACAGCCAGCAGAGAGCCCCCTGTCGTATCATTGCATACATCATGTTCATACACATACACATTCAAAACTTCCGCATGGGTGACACAGTACCTTCAACAGCGCGAGCCCTAGGTGCACAGCACTGTAAGATGACGGAGGAACGACACTGAAATGTCCAAGACGGACCAACACTTTGGGTTGGGTCCGTGCTGTGTGAGACTTGAGAGATTGACATGTTCAAACCTGCTCAATATATACATGGAACTTTCTCAGTGATCAAACCAGCGCAAACTCCAAACGAAAATAGTCGGTCAGATCCAACGAGGCCTCTACTCTCCTAATTCCGAATCAAACTAGGAAGCGTCCTAGTACAGATCGATCAAGGGACTCGTGGAAGGGAAGCAGCAATGACAATACAGCAGGGTAACTTGGATCGACCAACGATCAGATTCCATCATACATAACAGCACCATCTAACAAAATAACATATACTCAGTACTATAAAACCCAATCTAAAAACCACTATACCTGCACTATCAAAGGCTCCAGTAGAACAAACCGCACACCACCGCTCACTTCTTCTAGGCTCTAACCGCTGCATTGCAGGATTGCGCAACAACAGCCAAAAGCAGAACCAAACACACAACCCAGCCGAGTAATCAAAAGCTCCCAGATAACTCCTTCATCCAGCTATTCGCAGCACCACTGGCGCCCACCCTCTCTTTTGGCTGTACATCTCAGCTGCAACCTGCAACAATAGTCTTGCTCCTCTGGCTTGTAATTCTCGGACCCCCTCGCTTCTGCAAACCAGCCCAGTGTTCCAACCAGTGAGAAACTTGAGTAATAACGCTGCTCGGATCATGCGGATAAATACCTCTAAAGCATATATGCATTATTCCTACCTTCCAAATTGCCCTAAGCCCCTAATCACCGCTGCTACCCCTGCAGCCATTAGTCCTCTCGTCTTACCAGGAAATCTCATGATCCACAGAGAAATATCTTGTGCAGTGTCTAAATTCATGGATACCCCCAAAGCACAACTAACTGCTCCCCATACATATTTTGCCAAAGAACAGTGAATAAAGAGGTGATCCACAGATTCTTTAGCCTCACAAAATCGACACCTCTCATCTCCCACCAAACCTCTTTTTTCTCAAGTTATCTTTAGTCAATAATATACTATTCTTAAACATCAACCACAAGATAACTGTAATCTTAAGAGGTACTTTAATAAACCATAATTTTCTAAAACGACATCTAACTTGCAAAGCTTTGATCATCAGGTACATTGATCTAATGGTAAATTCACCACATGTAGTTAAAGTCCACACGCACTTATCTCTCTCCTCACTTTGAACCACGTCCTCACAGAGATATTGCAAATGCTGCTCAGCCAAATCACCCAACCTCCTCCTAAATTTGACATTATCCAACCCCCAATCACCTCTGCTACAGTAATATTAAAACTGGTGTTAGCATTATACAATCTATGGAACTTACTACACAGTGGAACATTACCTAATCAAGAGTCTTCCCAAAAGTCTAGTAGTTTTGCCATCCCCCACTCGCTTCCTACAAAATTTGTAATACTCTTTTCTAGTCTAAGATGCCACTCATAAAATGAGACTGAGTAGGTTTTCTCTTAATGCTGACTAGGACTCTTTATTACAATATTTACTTCTAATAATATCTTGCCACATACCTTCCTCATTTTCTATTTTCCATAACCATTTACTCAAAAGACACATATTCATTACAGCTAAATCAACTACTCCCAGACCCTCTACCCCAATGAATAGGTTGGCAAACCTTTTCCCACTTCACTAAATTGTACTACTTGTCAGATTCACCACTATCCTGCCATAGAAGTCTTTTCATAAAATATTCTACTCTATGCAGAGGATCTTTAGGAATAGTAAACATAGACATCATAAAGTAAGGTATACTACTCAAACAGGATTTCAGCAAAATTAATCTAGGACCATAAGAGATCATTCTTCCTTGCCAGGCTCCTAGTTTCCCTTCCATCTTGTCCTCCACTCCTTCCCAATCACTATTCATAAGCTTAACACTATGCACAGGGATGCCCAAGGAAGCTACCAGCTACACAAGTAAAAAATTCTCTACATATTTTAATGTGATCACTAGCCTCTCATAAACAATAAAGCTCGCTCTTATTAAAATTAATCTTTAGACCAGAAAGATGCTTAACTAAGCATCAAATGTTCTTTAACACTTTGGCCTCTTCTTGTCAGCTCTTAATAAAAGTACTGTGCCATCAACATATTGTAACATATTAATGCCTCCCTCTACTAGACAAGGAACTACCCCTCAAATCAACCCAGCTCTCTTAGCCCTATGAATTAATTCCTGCGAAACATCTACAGCAATGTTGAACAGCATAGGTGAGGGGGATCCCCCTGTGCAACAGCTGTTGAGGGGCATCTATCTGCAGGGAAACAAACAATTTCACACCATCCACGAAAAAACATATCTTCATCTGTGTTCTTACCGCTTCCCTTCAAGTAGTGCATTGGATAGTATCTACAAGAAATTTCTTTACCAAGTGAAGACTGGAGCTTACGTCATAGTTAAAATTGGACGTCATCCTCCTCTCAAGATAGAGTATGTTGGTTTTACACGTGGAGTACCAGATATCCTGTAGGAAATTTGCATAACAAACATGAAAAATAAAAAATAATAACTTGCAGAAATGATCCATTGATATGAAAATATAACTAGCATCAGATTTATTTAGAAAATCAACTAGTGTCAACTATATTGCTATGGATGAAGCGGCATTATGAGAAGAAAAATAGTTTATCCTTTTCAGTTTGTAATGTACTGAAACAAGACCTTTTTCGACTGTTGTGATGATGTCAAAAGAGCTTCAAATCCATGGTAACATTCCAAACTGCGATCTGGACTAAGCATCAGTCCCAGGTAACTTCTAACTTCAGACCAACCCGACAGACAAAAGAGGCAGGACATGGCATTTCCTTACCAAAGGATCAACTATTACAGCAGGCATTAACGTTAATCTGTAAGAATGATAGATTCTACCAGTGATGGCCACACAAGAGGTTGGTAGTGTCCTTTATCAAAGTGCTGCCAGAAGGACAGTCGCACTTAAGAGCATTTTTTTCCAACGACGTGATATTAACTACTCTCATTTATTTATAGGCATATAGAAAATTCTATGTGGAGGATAAGCGTGCGCTTGATGTGGAAACCAGCAAATCCAACCTTAATAGGTTCAAGATGAAGAGTTTTTTGTGAAGAGGCAGAGTCTTTCAGACAAGCGAATCAAAGGAGAGCCAGGAGACTTGATTTTTCCATCTTCGCCGATATCCTTCACTAAACAGTTCTCTTGAAACAACGTGTAATTGAACTGCTCAAGCCTGTAAAAAAGAGAAATTCATGATGAAATCAGAGCACTGACGAGAGATTATGTTCCACCCAGACCTAATTCAAGGATCAATAAAACGTAGATGTGGTTATGATATAACATACATTATTTTGTACATGCAGACATTGACTTGTCACTGTAGTTTATATCAGGGTTGAGGAAAGCAACACCACCAGTACCCCACAGGGGATAGAGGATCTCCTGAAAAAAATGTATGACACACATTTTCCACATGGTGCCTCTTCGTGGGCTTGTGTCATGTGAACCAAAACATGATACACCCATACCATCAACCTGCCACAGACCAAAATGAATAGCAACTTTCACACAAAGCATAACACTTCAGAAAAGGAAAAGGTAAGTTAGAATAAGGGGTGTGCTACGCGTCAAGATCAGCCGGGTCACGAGCCGTCGGATTACCGCATCACACGGCCGAACGCGCCTCCATACTGCAACACAGGTCTTGTTGCGGAATTATTTCCGCAACACAGGTCTTGTTGCGGAATTTACATTTGCGGAAAGCACTAAAAACACTTCCCGAAGACCAAAATATCCCCCAAAAAGGATTCCTTTGGTACAACCCCTTTAGAAAACTATTCATGTGGATAAATGGTGGGGATTACAACGAGTCATTTACCACGCCATAAAGGGTGATGTAGTCTATTTCATGTGGTTGGATACTTTTTTTTACGGAACCTCGTCAGAGGGCAGGGTGCTCCTGCTATTTCATTAAGAAGAGAGTTGGCCCGGTTTATAGGGAAAACTAGGCCAGAAACCACACAACATGGTTGATTAGGGGACAACCGAGCAAAAACCCCAACAAAGAGTACAAACAGCCCCAAGCAAAACTAGGCACCACCACCAAACACAAACCAATCGATCGAGGGCCAAAGCGACCCGAGGTAGGAGTGAAGAAGCACTTCGATAACGCCTCCGTCGGGACAAAGCTTTTGCCAAGAGCTCTGCACACCACCACCCCACTGAACCCCGTGGGAGGGGATCCAGCCACGCCAATAGCCACCGGAACCTAGTACCAGCCACAATGATCTGGTGTCTGGATGAACTCTTCGGCAACGCCTCCAAGGAGGATAAAGATGCCTAGGATGCCTCCGCCGCCGGTACCGCCCCCCCGCCGGCCAAAGATTTCGCCCAGAGCCCATAGTCCCTCCACCTCGACGAGGGATACTGAGCATGGTGCAACCCACACAGCCCACCTTCAGGCCCAACCTCATCTCAGCCCGTCCGCATCTCCTTACATCACGCTTGCCCCCCTCCTCTCCCCTTATAGAAGCAGGAGTGAAGGATAAAGCAAGGGGCCACAGTCAGTTCAGGGCTCCTTTGATTCAAGGGATTTTCATAGGAATTTTGGAGGATTAGAATCCTTAGGAATTTTTCCGATGTTGTTTGTTTGATTCATAGGATTGAATACTATAGGAATTTTTCGTAAGGATTTATTTGTACTACTTCCCATAGGATTTATACCATCCACTCAAACCTCTTTGAAAGAATAATTTGTCTTTCCTATGATGCAATCAAACAACCCAAAATCCTGTAGGATTGAGATGAACATGACATTACAATCCTGTGTTTTCCTATTCCCTTGTTTTGAAAATCCTGCGAATCAAATAGGCCCTCAATCTCTTTGGTCATTGCTAGCGAATGTTCGTGAAGCTTTGCACTCATAGACACCGATCCCCAGGTCGACGTCTGTGATTCATAGTGCCAGATCAAACAAACTAAGAGGAGCAGCGAGGAAGGCATGAAGAGCCATGGACTAGATAAGGTTTGTTCAAACATCGTGGAGCAAGCGTGAGCTGCTATTGTTCCGGGCAGTAGCTTCCCCAATTGAATTGATACACCGGTGCGTAACAGACTAATGCATGAAGTGGACAGATATTTATTCCCGATTTGTGCGGAAGGTACAAAAGTACCCTCCATAAGTGATTTGAGTTACATTAACTGAAAGGGGTGCACCGACTGAAATCTCCCCGAGAAATCAATGATGTGATGAATGCAGCGACAGGCTACAAGCTTTAAATAGAGGAACCTAAATGTTCCTTGCCATATATAAAAGACAATGTGATTTCAACTTTACCTTACCCCCTTCGATGTAGCACAAGAATCTTGGTTTCCACATGTTTGAACCAAAGCTGGCATACCAAATATTGAACTTTTGACAATGCGGATCTCCAAGCATATCATACTCAAAACATCACTCAGAACCAGAGGAAGTGCATGGCTGTTCATTCCCCAATGGGGAAAACAAGAAAGAGAAATTATTCAAGGGCTCCACCATCAGGTTAATATTTCCTATTGATCGTCTCAGCTATACAGTAAGCCTGCATGCATCAAGATGCATAAATGGTACTCCCTCCATCCCAAAATAAGTGTCTCAACTTTGTACTAGCTTTAGTACAAAGTTGTACTAAAGTTGAGACACTTATTTTGGGACGGAGGGAGTAAATCAAATGTGAGACTATTGGCACAAGATAATTAAAGTGCACAGTACAAACATAGTTGAGCTGTATAACTCTGCATGTTCTTTTGCAAGAGTTAAGAGTTTAAAAGTTGATAGGCACCTCAGAATAAGTATACACATGAAGCATTGATCACAACAACAAAAAAAGGTTCATCAAGTATGGATTGCCTGCGGAAGTGCGGATAATATGGAAATAGCATATCAACTGAGCTGTGTAATACAGTCCACATCACTCGTGAACATGCATTCATCTATGAAATTGGGCTACATTATGGTGCTTCATTATAACCCTGGAAAAAAAAGAAAATCGTCCATTAAGAATGTGGTTTGAAAGCTGCAACTGTGGTCATGACATGTTGGTGAAAAGTAAGAGAAGATGGTGTCAAGTTTCCCAGCAAACGGATCTGGAACAGAGCGATCCACATCTCAGACATAAGAGCACAATTCATTAGTCAGAGGTCAGACCAAGCAGGCCCCAACTCAAGTCCCCAAGAAGAAGAAAATAGAAAGAGGAAACTCACCTGGATATATGAGGGCGTACTCCTCAAAGATACGTTCTCCGGAAGCTTACTGCTCAAAACAGGCCAGTATGTCTTTAATTCATCGCGTACCTGGTCAGTGTGAGGGGGAATGAGAACTAAATTACAGATACGCATAGCGAGACCAAAATTAGACAGAAATAGTACACTGCAGACCATTACCATTTGTATGACTCTCCATGTAGATTCGAATGGTTGCATCTCTGGAGAGGTAAGTGTGAATTTATCTCCCAACAATACTTTTGCACAAGCACAAACTGAGTTTGCTATGGACTCAGGGTTATAACCTCCTTCAAGGGCCATCACAATCCTTCCTTTTGCAAAACCTAACAGCTGCAGGTAAAATGTAGACAGGCATAAGCATCGATCAGCTGAGTAGAAAGTCCAAAAAAGTTATAGGAGATACTAATAAATTGATGGGATCAAATGAAAATTTTCTAACAGGTAACACCAAAGCATGACAACAAAAATGAATGACCGTGGCAATAACATAAACGCTACTCTATCACATCCAAACTCCAAGGTCAAGAATGAAAAATGTTTTTAAGGCCAGGAGAGCGCATGGTTCAGTGAGTTTAATAAAAGGTCATTTTGCTGCAAACGTGCAAATGCATACCTTTGTCAGTAGCAGTGCATATCCATTTGGAGTGATGCAGCAATTACCCATATCATCACCCAGTGCTAGCAAAAAAGAAACAGGGAAAATATTCAAAACCAGTGAGTAACAAGAACATGCATGATCATATGAGACACAGAAGTTTTGATTCCATTGGCATGTAATAGCAATATAATACAACAAAGCCACAGCGGTTGTCAAAATATCTTCAGTGAAGATCTCATTTGTCACGCAAAAAGGAAATCAGGTATATAAGGAGTAGTACTCGAACAGTGCACATCTAGTACATAGAATAAACTACAATGCCGGTATATAGCAACAGTCAGGCTTCATTTGAAGTGCCTAGATTAGTTAGATGTTTAAATTTTAGGGACAAGATAGTTTCTAAGAATTTTCTAGCTGTCTACCTGCGTCAAACCCAGCAGACAGTAATATTATATCAGGATCAAATGCTTCTGCAACAGGAAGGAGTACATGGTCCCATGCAGCAACATAATCTGCATCACCGCATTCCGCATGCTCCCAGGGCACATTAATGTTGTACCCTCGACCAGTTTCATCCCCAATGAAAACGTGTGATGCATCAGCTTCATAAGGGTAGAAGCTTCCATCATCATATCTACAGAGCAAACATTGGAATAATAGTTTACACATTACTGAAGGATCAACAGAATGCAATGGAACAACTGCAAAAAATTGAGATTTCGATCAGAATTGGTTGGGTAGTTCTAGGAGAGGCCTTTACCAAAGATGGCAAGTTACACAATCTGTAGATTCATCAGCCAAGGTAACATGTATGTAAACTTAAATGATAAGCGGTTAGAACAGCAGCTTTCCTCAGGTACCTACCTACTACTCCCTCCGTCCCATAATGTAAGACGTTTTTTGACACTAGCTAGAACAATGTTAGAAGAAGTTTCGGCGTTGGATCTGGGAGGCTAGAACTTTTCACATATATCGGAGAAAGAAAGAATAAATATCAACATCATGTATTTTGGATGCTCCAGACTATAGCAGTGCAGATAAATCAAACATATTAGAGCAAGAGTTGTATAACAAGTACAACTCAGTTTTCAAACATAAGCACTGAAGTTGCATTACAAACATCTCTTTCTAATGTAAACATGAACCGTAGTATCTAGCCCTGCAGATGCATGGGAGACTAAACTCAGATAGCAATAGAAAGTAAACACAATGAATTGATTAATATACTATAACCAAAATCAAGGGTGGGCAGGTGACAATTCAAATGACAAATAAAGTAACCATACTATGTTGATTAGAAGTTTAGAACAGATAATTCAGGCTATTTCAATACTAGTAGTGTCAACATAGGAAGTAAAATGGTAAAACCATGATGAAACAGAAAAAGGATTAATAGTTAATAGGTTCTTCCATTGACAACGGATTAATAGTTAATAGGTTCCATGGCACATTAATCACAAACTGGGCTCAAGCATTTAGGTCGTGCTATACAGCCCAACTGGATCAACAAAACTGAGACTTAATCCCGATCATTACAGGTACAATATCCAAGAGCATTATAGTAAGGTGAGCTCACAAATATCAAAAATGAGTTTGTTAATACCATGTAAATAAGAAATGGAGTTTCTAAATTTCTATGAACTGCAGAGATCCACTGTAAGAAAACGCTCTCAGCATCCTACATCCATTCAAAAAGCAGTAAGCCATAAAAATGTAGGCAACAAAACTACCACGGCTTCACGAATATCATATCATGAAGGTTATGAAGCTAGTCTAAAGTCTCAACTAAGACTTCTTCTTTATATCTAATGCGTATACATACAGTGGTTTGCATGTTTTCTTTATATCTAATGCGTATACATACAGTGGTTTGCATGTTTGCGGAAGCAAAGTCTGAAGTCTAAACAAAAATAGCAAAGCAACGCCAAGTTATTGTGTCATACCTGTGCACTGAAAAGAACAATACACGAGGGTCATTATAAAACATGTTCTGCGTGCCATTTCCATGATGAACATCCCAATCGACGATTAATATCTTGCTGATACCTAGGTCAGGCTGCAACAGAAAAAGGGAACTCAGAAAATGACTCCATGTTCTCAGTAGGTCACATCATAGCAAATTGATATGATTGTTCCTACAGAGGAAATGATAAACAAAAACAGCACGTATTGATCTTAACAGAACATTCAACAGGGAAGTTTCAAATACGCACCCTTTCATTTAAGAGGTAGTTAGCTGCAATTGCCACATTGTTGAAGAGGCAAAATCCCATGGGCTTGCTATGTTCGGCATGGTGGCCTGGAGGCCTGACTAGAGCGATCGCAGAACTCAGCTCACCAGCTGCAACCTTCTCAGCAACCTACTTGCCAAACGAGTCATTTTGTCAGCACTCAGGATCAACGGAACCAGAATTGCTGTATAAGACTAGTGAATACATATGCAATGTAGGAAAAGTAAACGGAAATTACCTCGATGACAGAACCGGCTGCGAGGAAAGCAGACTCTGAGGAGCCTTTGTTGAAGTAAATGGAATCGAGTTTCTCAGCAGTATTTTTTCGCTCGGAACTATCCTTCGAGCTGATATTCCTTATCAGATCTATGTGATTCGGGCCATGGACAGAGGCTATATATTTTTCCTTGGCTTCCTTCGCCCTCATGCCCACACACCTGGAAGAAACTTATGTTACACTACAGCCACAGAACCTTGCAAAGTCATACAATTATGAATCTAATCAATCAAAGTAATGCAAGCAATGGACGGCACAGAAGCTACAATGCCGATGTTCAAACTTCACTCTAGTGGCATACAAGTTACCTTTTCTTAAGGAAACAGCAGGACTCTGCTGTGTATTTTTATTGTTTTTCAAATAAATGTTACTCCCTTGTCCAGCTTGAAAAACGATCTTATATTGTGGGATGGAGGGAGTACAAAACAAAGTTCAGAAATAAAATAAAAGAGCTACACAGGCCTAGTGAAAACAAACAAGGAACAGAAAATACAAAAGGTACAATGAAGGCAGAACTAAGTTCATCTGAAAGCTTTGACCCAATCAATCAGGCCACTATACTCCTTCCTTTTGGCCCTGTAGGTGAGCCTGAGCCACTGCAGTTCCTCTTTAAATCGACGCCTGCAGGGATCCGAGATACTGTACCACAAGGAAGGGCTGGAGTGCCCCAAATTGCAGAAATACCAGAAGGACGCTGTTCCTTTCAGATATGCAGTGCATAAATGTTTGAACCTATAATGCAAACAGTGGGCAGCACAGAAGCCATAATGCCAATGTTCAAACTTAACTCTAGTAGCATCCAGGTTACTGTGCACAGGCAACGGCTTGAGTACCCAGAACTGCAGAAATACCAGGACTCTATACCTTTTCAGCGCTACTGTGCATACATGTTTGAACCTATTATCTGAAGAAACTTATGTCACACTAAAGCCACAGAACCTTGCAAAAGTCATACAATTATCAATCTAATCAATCAAAGTAATGCAAGCAATGGACAGTCCAAGTTACTGCACACGAGGAAGGACTGGAGTGCCCCAAATTGCAGAAATAGCAGGACTGTTCCTTTCAGCGCTACATGGCATACATGTTTGAACCTATTGTATGAAGGATCTATATACTCTCCCCCCTTTCTCAGGCCCTTCACCATTTCGGGCGCTTCATCAGATAACCAAAACATAATCGTGCAGATTTACAGTCGTAACAGGAAACAGATCAAGCACAGCGGGAGCGCGCGAGGACTTCCCATCCCATCTATCTCCGGCGATTCCACG